ACGACTTTAGGGCATAACTGCAGGAGGTGATTTCCTAGGTCTTTGTGATCAAAAAAGTTCATATAAACATGTGTCCGATTTTGGACAGTTACGGAGTTATGACAGTTTTTCCATTCCCATACACGTCCTCATGTGAACCGCGTCTGTCAGCTGGCGGGTCACTATTTTTAGCCAGCTAGAGACAGAGCATTCTCGTTATCTCGACACTTGAGAGCTACTTGAGGCAGGGTGGGTTGGTATGTCTGGCACAGTTCACCGCGGCCGGCAGTGGCATTCGAAAATCAGCTTTATGCACCAATAAATTTAAATTAAAGGTAATTTCATGAAGTTAACTTTACATTCATACTTTAAATGTATCATGTATTATGCTGGTTTATTATTTTCTTCCGTTTATTGTCAGTAACCGTTACCTTCTATTCTGAGTTTAAAACTGTCATAACTCCGTAACCATCCAAAATCGGACACATGTTTATATGAACTTTTTTGATCACAAAGACCTATGAAATCACCTCCTGTAGTTATGCCCTAAAGTCGTTAAACACCCTGTATATAATATATAAAATAAATAATTATTTACATTTACAGCTAGACATTAAATATGACAGATTAACAACATGTACTAAGTAGCAATGTTACCTAGAGGAAATATTTTTGCAAAACATTGTCTACAAAAACAAACTGTTTACAAAAAATGCCTAATCTCTCTCTCTCTCTCTTTTTCTTCAACGGGCAATACAGCATCAGAACTGGTATCATCTTGTCCACCATTACACAACAGAGATATATTTCTTTCAGTCACAGCCTGACTAACTACATAAATCAGTGGTTAGGTCAAGTGCTTTGGCCACTGGATACAAAGGACTAACAGTACTTTATAAATTGTATTAATTGGTCTAGTTATTATTTCTGTATTACCACTTGTAACGTCCCCTTACGTTACTACACAGCAGTACATTATTCAGAATGATCTGAAATGCAACAAAGTGGAGGAACCTCATAACACATTAAATCACAATTTCACTCTACACACAGGCAATAAAAAAGTGAAATTTCTTTTTGGTAAGAGTCAACACTGCAATGCCAACTGAAGCACTTCTGTCCCTGTACCTGAGGGGGTGGATCCATGAAGTGAAACTGCAGTAAGTCCTGAACTCCAAGTGATTTGAGGAGCAGAACAGTGTTAGCCAGATTGGTCCGCTGTATCTCGGGCACTGTGGTTACCAGCAACTCATCCTTGTACTGCCGCTCTGTGTATAACCTGAAGCACATACAGTCTGTAAATCACTACTGGGCATACAATGTAAGTTTCCCCCAAAAAGGCTCATGGTCTGTAACATATCCTCAACTACAGTTAAGGAATGATAATGATCCTTGTATAATACAATAAAATTGGTCCTAAAATGCAGGACACATGATACAAGAAATGTGTAGAAAACTGGAAAGTAACCACTGGAAAACCAAGGATAATGGAAGATCACTTTAAGGTGGATCAGAGAGAGAGACTGTGAGAATGTGAGGTGAACATTATTTATTTATTTATTTATTTATTTATTTGCAGTTTACTTAACAAGGCTGTCAGTAACTCAGGTTACATTGCATAGAATGGTAGGATTAGCACATAATGAATTAGCAGGGATGTGGAATAATGTGGTCACAGGCTAATCTCAGGTACTATCCCAGCATCCCAATAACTGAGGAAATCAGTGAAAACCTCAGTCATGATATGTCCCAGCTGAGATCAGAACACAGTAACTTAGAAGTACAAGTCAGAAGCCAACATGCACAGCTGAAAAGGACTAAACTGGCTCCAGATCATGTTCAGTGACAGGCACTTGTATTGGTGGAGCTGAACCTTTGGGTTCAATTACAAAAGAGTTATTCAGATACCAATAATGATAAGCAGGGCACAAGGAGAGATATATCATCATACACTACCTGAAACACTGCCCTGGACCTGTTCTGCCAGCACGACCAGAACGCTGGTTTGCATTTGCCTGACTGATGGGGTAGATTTGTAGGGCATCCATACCAATACGTGGATTGTATACCTTCAGCTTGCAGTAACCCGAGTCCACTACATACATGATTCCATCCACTGCGGCACAAAAAGCAACCTGTATTATGAAGCACGTAAAAAATTACTCTTCCTCACTTTTGTGGTTTGCTCCAGATTACACTGTAAGTGCATCAGACATTGCCTTCCTTCTTAAGTGCAATTAACATACGTAACATTCTGCAAAGGTGATCTTACTCTACGTGACTGAGTGTCATTACGACAGATTATTTTCACTGAACAGTTCTAGCTTCTGGGATATAACGCTGTGTAATCCAGTGGAAGTCTGCCACTGTGTTGGAGAGTACATCTAAAGATACATTGGACATAACTACATGGCTGCACACCTGCAAACATTATCTATACACTGAACTTCGTGTCAGGACCCAAATTCTATGGCTGCCAGACATCAGTTGCTACAGTCTCAAGCCATACTCAAGATCAATATGTATGACATTCAAAAGTACTAGAGAGATGCAAGAAAGTGAATGGAAGATGACCCCAAAGCTTCTGATTTGCTACAACAAGTTTACTTTATATAGAAAGATAGGCTTAAGGTACCACATCTGTTTGAACATGTCCACCTGCCTGTGTGCATGTCTCCATTTCATAATAAAGGTAAAGAGGTAAAGGTATCCCTGTAACAGGCCATGGAGGCCCACAGGGTTCTGAGACAGCGAGGCTCCCACATTTTCTACACAACTGGCTCACAGATGGCAGTGAGGTTATCAGCCTTACACACTGGCTGCCCTTTAACCCCAGGAAGATTCCTGGTATTCATTTCTGTTAAAGGTTGAGTCGACCCCAGGGCCATTGTGCGGCTGGAAGAATTAGGTCAATTGAAAAATCTAATAACCTCGTCAGCAATCAAAACCGCGACATTTCGGCTTGTAGCACAGTGCCTTAAACAACTACGCTACCGTGTGGTCCGTATCTCCATTTCATAATGTCAGAAAAAATTATTACATTATCCATTGCCACTGGAGACAACAAATCATGTGCCATTTTTAAAGTCCTGCCAAAGACATAATGGTGGCCATGCAGTCTTCTGAAATGAGAGTGACTAGTACCAATTCATGTACATTCCTGAAATTGTGTGTGGTGACAGACCTTTCAAGAATAAGTAACTGTTCTAAGCTAATTCTAATAACATGTAGAATAACATGATTATGTTTAGCTTTTGGTTCTATTGTGGTAACTAATAAGCCACTGCATCTAGGCACATGAAATTTCATACGAAGAGATATCATAAACATATGAACTCACAATTATTGAACTATAAAGAAGGAAATTTTTTTATGTATTAAAAATCATGAACATGTTACATAACACAAAACTGAAGTTACACCATATACCTAGCAGATGTTGTGAATCTGCACTAATGAAAATTATGAAGAGAAATACAGAACACTGTTTAATTAATTAACAATTTCTGCTAGCCTGTTTATAAAAACAAAAACATTTAAAGAAAGGTATATCATTATTTCTTGCAAGAGCTACTTTTCAAATCTCTTTACCTGTTAAAGACGTTTCTGCAATGTTTGTAGCAACAACGCATTTGCGCAGCCCTTCCGGTGACCTCTGGAAGATCTTTGCCTGCAGATCTGAAGGCAGCTGTGAATAGATGGGTAGCACAGAGAGCTGAGGTGCATTATCAATCTCTCCCAGCCTCTCAGCCAGCACCTCACAAGTCACTTCTATGTCTTCTTGCCCAGGCATGAAGATCAGGATGTCGCCTGTGGGAGAACATGTGCTATCAACTTTCTGCAGTGATAAGAGCAGCAACAACAGTCTTCCCTCTACAATCAACAGTTTTCACATTTAGCTGCTGTAATTGACTGGCTGTTCAGTAACTCAGATGGTGTCTGAGGTGTACATGGGCTTTTGTGAACACAAAAATTAAACTCTGGGTTTCTTAAAAACAAGGAATTTCTTGACTGTGTTAACTGTCAACTTCTTAAGGAAGGCTGTGTTCCGTGAAGTAAGATGGAGTTTGAACTACAAAGATTACACAGCGTCAAATGTGATGAGAAAATAATCCTGATGATGGAGAGATATGGAACTGAAAGAAGGGAGCCATGGCCTATTTCAGTGTAATATCCAGCATTTACACAGATACAGTGATAAAATTCACTAACATATCAAACAAATTAGTCTTCTGGGGTGTGATGCCATGCACTTTGTTAGACAGGCACCAACATTTCAGAGAAACCTACTGCCTCTACCTTCAGGATACCTTGAAGATGGAGGCAAAAGTTTCTTTCAAAATATTACTATCTATCTACCAACTTACATGGTGTTATACCACACATGATCATAAACCTAATTCACTGCCATGATAACCCCAATCTCATATGTGATAAGACAAGAGGGTGTGATGGGTTTTAGAGCGCTGCTGTAACTGACTGATTAAAGTGGGAGGGGAGTTCTTATTGCTAACTGCCCTCCGATCTATGCAGCTGCTTCTAACAACAGTTCTGGGTGAGCAAAACATGTGTTCATGGTCAATGTGTCAACAGTCACAAACAGCAATGTAGATAACCTAACAAACAACGTTACCTTAACAAACTAAATTACCGTATTTACGCATGTATAGACCGCACATTTTTTGCCAAAAATTCAAGAGGAAAACTGGGGTGTGGCTTATATTCGAAATATTCGAAATCACACTTCATTTAAAAAAAAATTATATTCATAATTAGTAATACAGGGTGTTCTACTCCTGAAACAATATTCCAAGAAAATTATTTTTTCTATAATTTCTGTCTGAAAACTGTGCTGCGGCCTATACACGCACGCGGCCTATACATGCGTAAATACGGTATCTAGCTTCATGAAGCAGAGTACTTCCTCAGAAGTTAAGAATCGTTCAAAAACTCAACAAATCCCCTGCAGTTTACAGAACATTATGGTTCATTACCATGTTCACATAAGCTTACCAGCTACCCTCATAAATGAATGAGGGGCTGTTTGTCTTTAGTAAGTCACAGGAAGTTGGAGAAAACTGCATAATGAGGAGCTTCATAACCTGTACTCTTCTCCAAGTATAATTAGAATGATCAAGTCAAGGAGGATGAGGTGGGCAGGTCATGTAGCATGAATGGGGGAGACGAGGAATGCGTATAGGATATTGGTGGGAAAGCCAGAAGGAAAGAGACCACAGGGAAGACCAAGGCATAGGTGGGTGGACAATATTAGAATAGATCTTAGAGAGATGGGATGGGATGGTATTGATTGGATAGATCTGGTTCAGGATAGGAACCAGTAGAGGGCTCTTGTGAACATGGTGATGAACCTTCGGGTTCCATAAAATGCTGGGAAACTCTTGAGTAGCTGCAGAATTGGTGGCTGCTCCAGAAGGGCTCAGCTCCATGAGTAAGTAAGTAAGTTTGTCTTTAGTGTGACAGGTTCAAGGGAAAACAGGCAAGGCTTCAGCAGATACAAATGCTGTAACACTGCAATAACAGTGACAACTAAGTGACTACTGATGTCCACACTGATAACTTGCAAGATAATGCACCTATCTTCCAAGCCACTTTACAGTAACAGATAAGTTAAAAAACTGACTCAGAGCTTACATAATCTTACAGCTATTCAGATCTGATATAGTGCTAAAAACAGCATTCATTCTCAGCAAAGTGTCTGTTTATGGACTGGATGGTTTGGGCGCAGTTCCTGGTAGGGGTGTTAGCACTTGTTTATTTATCAGCATCATGGGCACTGGCAAGGGGGCCATCACATATCTGCCTCCACAGGATTTTTGGAAAAATCAAAATTGAAAAAAGAAGGAAACATATCAAATATTAATACCAAAAATTGAAATCATTTTTAACCTACTTCCCTTATTTAAAAAAATAAAAGTAGGCTTATGATATCGCAGAAAACATGTCACGTGATTGCTACGCTGTTATGTAACATCACCAGGCATGCACGAGCTACACAGATGCAAAGAAAACACTGCAATCGTACTGTTGGCCATGTTTGTGTTGTGGGCATTGAGTAGCAATGGATCTACATGTCACAATATGAAGCTACTCAATCATCTCTGTCTAGTACAAAAGAGAAGACTGTATGCAGCTTTACCTAGATGCCCCCCCAACATGCAATAACTTCTCTCGCTCACCTTCATTTGGCTGCAGATGGATCTGCAATGCTTGCTTCACAGCCGAGTCAACATAATCTTCCACAGGATTCTTGCTAAAGAGTGTATCCACTGGAAATGTACGTCCAGGAATGGTAAAAGTAGGAACATTGCCAAAGAAAGTAGCAAACTTGGTGGCATCCATCGTGGCTGACGTTACAATCAGTTTAAGGTCCTGTCGTCGGGCAACCACCTGTTGAAGAAAACAGAGGACATTTGAGATTTGATACTCTCACAGCAGTGACTATGGAGAGTATCATGTTCTGAGATGTAATGCTGTGCGGCCTGGTAGAGGTTCCCCAACATTTTGGAGGAACATCCTGCCTCCTCCTAGCAGGCAGAGCATGCTGCCTGCTTCTTGCTAGTTACTTGCTTGGTTTACTCTTCAACACTGAATATGGAGGTGATATACTACTCTGAAATGTCATTTGACTACATGGCATTACATTCCACAGGACAACCCTCTTCATAGTCATCACTGTGAGAACCTCAAATCCAACAGCTTAAATCTACATTTGGTTTCTGATTTTGCATTCCACTTTTTGTGATCTATGTACCAACTACTGCATCTGTGGTCTAGTGGTCAGAGTTCCTGCCTACAGATCCAGAGGTCCTGGGTTCGATTCCCGGCGTTACCAGATTTTCTGAGAAGTAGTGGGTCTGAAACTGGGTCCATTCAGCCTCATGAGGATAACTGAGGAGCTATTTCAAGGAAATAGGGGCCCCGGTCTAGATAACCGAGATTTACGGCCATGGGGATCCGTTGCACTGACCACACAATACCCTCTATCCACAAAAGTTGGCACTAACTTTGCCAATAAGTGGTGGTCACTCTGTCGGTATAGTTTGCTTGCAGACTACAGGCCACGGAGTTTGTTTCTTGTGCCAACTATGGTTAATATTCACTCAGGTGGTGCCATAGCTCAAGCGGTTAGTCACTGGCTTCCCACCACAGGGGCCAGGGTCTGGTCAAGTGGGATTTGTGGTGGACAAAGTGGCGCTGGGGCGGGGTTTCTCTGAATACTTTTGTTTTCCCCGCCAATCTTCATTCCACCAAATTCTCCATCATCATAATCACCCAGGGCAGGTACAACAGGCCAATCAGTGGCCGCCATGCCAAGTGAACCCAGCTGGACTCCACACCCCACTAAGCGAATTAATTAATTAATTAATTAATATTCACTCATCTTCTTCTTCTTAATGTATATCACTACACGTTTCGGCCTAGTTGGCCATCATCAGGCACAAGTTGTGGTGAAGAGGGAATCTGCTGTTCTGCTTTTCTTACGTAACTGCCTCAAACCAACTGTAGGTTATGTGGGTTATGCTGTTGTCATTCACATGTTTGGCTTATGGTTTTGTTGGTTTGTTGATTTTCCTTTGGTTCAGTGTGTGGCTGTCCTGAATGCTTTTGTTGGAACGGAAGATCTCTGCTTGGCAGTCAGCAGCAGATTCCTTCATCACAACAACTTGTACCTGATGATGGCCAACTATGCCAAAACATGTGGTGATATATAATTAAGAGAAGTCAAATGAATATTAACCGAATTTGCACATACACAGCGAAAATTGGAATGCAAAATCAGATTACACAGTGCAGCAGGATGCTGCAATATAATATTACATTTAGCTTCCTTACAGATATACAACCGCACATTTCATTTTCACCCCAAAGGAAAAAGACCCCTGTACTAGATAGGATATATATAATGTTTCCAGTGCCAGTCTGGGCACATTGATGGCAAAGATACAAATTCTGTCCTTGCTAGATTTTATGTTTTCACGGTAGTGAGTATGATGTTTACCGCCTTTTGAAACACAACAATGTGTAGTCTGACAAACTGTTACTTACATTACAAAGAAATCTGCTGGCTCCTTCTTCAGGATAGAAGACAGAGATAGCAAGTTCCGCCAGAACATTGCTAACAATCTACAAGTTTAAACAGCATCACATCCCAAGCAACAGTGATCTTCAATTCTGCCTCTGCATGGAATCAAACCCCAATCATCCAATCATTCTTCTGAATGAGTTACTTGTATCACATCTCATTTGGAGGGAAAGTTGGCATCATTAATCTCAGTACAAGATGAAGAACTCAGCTTCATGCTTTGACCAATTGTACTCACTGGGGAATGAGCTCTTGTACACACTGGATATGAGGCTTGGTGGGCCACAGAATCAAACAACATGGTGGTGGTATGTAAAAACATTTCTCCTTGGACAGGAATCTAAACCCACACACACCCCATGAACTTTACTGTGAGGTATGCTGGCTCACACTGAAAGAAAATGGGCACCGCAGTTCCTTTCAGAACTCCAAATGGCTATACCAAAAAATGTAAAATATGCTGAATGCTATCGAATCTCTCTGTAACCTTACCGCTGACATTATCTTTGTATGGGATCCAGATACATTATCTCTCCTGCACAATTTGTGAAGTGAAGTCAGGCATCTTGATAAGAAGAATATGGAGTACAATACAACCTTGATATCAATTCAGTACAACTCCACAAACCATGACTTCAGGCAGCACAAGGACAAGGAAACACATGTTAGGTAACTGTTTTTTTTTTTCATCATTGCTAAGTGGGGAAGACAGGAGAATTGAGTGTGTGCATCTTATGGTTGGTTACCAGTTTACTTAACAAAGCTTTTTTTAATCCTTAAAGCACACTGGTGAATATGTGTATCACCTGTCTTAAATTAGCTCTGCATTTTCTCCACAGGTAGAATTTGTGTTCCACATAATTCTCAGAATAAACAGTGATTATTTTCATAAGCAACATTAGCCAGTTAGTTTAGCGGCCTCAGTAGTCTAGGGGTAACATTCCCACCTCATGACTCAAGGTATGCGGGTTCAAACCCGGCGGGGGTCATGGAATTTTTAAGGCAACACTTTCCCGCCCAAGTAGTTTCCAATGCCTCTGGTAGATGGGGGAAATATCAGGTACCGACGGCCGACCTCATTGGCTGAACGGGGCTGATAGCACGCACCAGTACCGGTAGGGTATGGGGACAGTATAAATTAAAAGGGGATGCACAATGGACCAATAACTGGTCTAAGTGCATGGGGAAACCCAGCCATTCTAATAATAATAATAATAATAATAATAATAACCAGTTAGTATAGTAACTACTATAGTAACTACTTTAATAACCAGTTAGTTTCCATAATGGCAACACAGTGTGTTTCCTGTGTAGCAGGGGCTGATATTATTCAGATGAGTGTTAAATGAATTATTTATGTTGCCTCAAATGGGAAGATGAGTGTGAATGATAAGTTGGAAAGAATGTGGAAGTGGTTGTGGCTTATTTTAAGGTACAGTATAAACCTTGAAACATTGAAGAAAATCATGAGAACCTTCAATATGAATGCTGGACCTGGGACAAACTGAAACCCAGGGTACCACAAATACAAAGCAGTAAATGACTCAATTGCACAATTATATCATGAAACAGAATTGCATTGAACTTACAAAAAAAAAGTTTAAAATGCACACAATATAAAACAGTTATCATAGTAATATCTAAAACTGGTACATGTACTCTACATGTTGGAAAAAATGCATACTAAATTTTTGTTGGAATACTTCCAGGGAAGAGACAAACTAAGGAGGGAGAATATTATTAAAATGGATCCTAATAAAATTGACTGATAGGCACAAGAACTGCACTGAACTGCTCACAATACAGGATTCTGTGATGATAATGATAATCTTTATGTTTCATAAAAACAGGGCACCTCTTCACCAGACACACAAACGGTTTTTGTTCATGAAAGACCTGTACTGTTGAATTCTCCAATTAGTTTAGTCACCTGGTTGCTTAGTTAGCTAGCTAGTTTGTTGGTCGGTCAGTTAGTCAATCAGTCAGTCAGTCAGTCAGTTCAGTTGTTGGTTGGTTAATCAGTTACTTGGTTGCCTGATTACATCTGTAACTGCTTACTGAATCATTTCAATATGGTGTATACATTAAATTAAATAAATACAAAAGTTCATTCAGGTTTTATAAAGTGTTAGTCTTACTTCATTTATAAGTTGCAAATATAGTAATCTGTCAACATATTTGTTGAGCTCTTTTCTCGTACAAAATTTCATCTAAGCCTAACAGAGTAGAGAAGTTAAAAAATGTGTTTACAATATACATGGGCCATGGAGGCCCATAAGGTTGTGAGACGCTGAGGTACCCATATTTTCTAGACAATCGGCTCACAGATGGCAATGAGGTTGTCAGCCTTACACACTGGCCACCCTTTACCCCCAGGGATATTTCTGGTACTCATTTTTGTTAGCTGTTTCTTTAAGAATTTATATCAAATTAAAAATACATTTATGCATTTACAAATCTGTGCAAAATGGATCTGTATTGTCTAATTTGCATAAAGATTATAGTTTGTAAACAAAGTCTAGCACAGGTGGACATCACAGACTTCATATCCAGACAGTAAAAAGTTACGCAAACTATGTTTACAAACATAAATACCACAACTGTTTACTTAAACACAGAATTATAGAACTGACCAATGATGCATAAGATGCTGCAACAAAACGAGTGTCACAACCGATTCAGAAACAAATCATAATTAACTGAGACAACACACTTTAATTGTGCACATCATGTGACTGCACTTCCATGCATGTTCTAATTGTTCTTAAGGCAGTACAGAATAACATTTGGCATTGACCATAAGACCAAGAGAAGAGAGATGCAATAAAGGGACATATATGTTGGACATTTTCCATCATTTCATTTTTGATCAAAAAACAGCTTTCAAAAGGTGGATGTGTTTTCATCATTACATACACATATAAGTATGAAATCTACTCTGCTGGATCCATTAGATAAACCTAATCCCTATTATTTTTGCACAACAAATAATAGAAAAATCTGAAAAGGCCAAGCGACATCTACCGCAGATAAAGACACAAAGACGATAATACCTCACGATTTTAAATTAGCTTTAAATTAATTCTTAAATTAATTTTAAATTAATTCTAAAATTAAAATTAATTTCAGCTTAATTGTTAAGTTTAAAATTTTAGTCTCATATGAGTCAATATCCACTAAACATTATGCAAATAAACATGAACACAGCCACTTTATGGCCTGTGTAAGTAAAATAGGAATATAGAGATCTCACGTTGCAATCCAGTAATGTAACTAGATTCATCTGAAGATGACCCTTTAAGGGTTGGAACATGTAGTATAACCCAAATTAATAAAAGCTGTTGCACTGATGGTGGAACTTGAATTATTAGCTAATCAATCTCTATTCCTGGACCAGGGATGTCCAACATACATGTCAGTTTGATGGCACTTCATCATTGCAGACCTAACTGGGCCACATTATGAATATGGAGAAATATATAAAAGTAAAAAAAAAAAAAAAAAAAAAAAATTTGCNAAAAGGTAAATTTGTCCCTATGCCATGAAGATATATAGGGAGTGGATGTATAGATCTGCATTTTCTTGACCTTGACAGTAGTTGGAGCTAATTGGTCAGCTTCATGCCCCAGCTGCTTTATGCCCAGGGATAGAGCCCATGGTACCCACTGTACGATGGGGTACCCAAAAGAAACCGAACTAATTTTTTTGTGGGCAGAGCTTTTGTAGTACCGCATTTTGCCGCTATGAGCTCATAGAGCTAACATTCCTGAGTCAATAAGCCGACTACCGTTGCTTCAGAAGGTAAGGACTAGTTTCAGCAGAGTTTATAATGACAACTGTTTTGTGTGATCGTCTTTTTTGCAATGGCTGATTTTCGTGAACAGCGTGCGGCGGTGAAATTCTGCTTTTTGCTCGGGAAAAGTGGAACAGAAACTCTTGAAATGTTAAAAACGGCGTACAAGGACGATGCTATGGGGAAAACTCAAGTGTTTGAGTGGTTTTCCCGTTTCAAAAATGGTTAAATGTCAATTTATGACAAACCTCGTTCTGGTCGTCCTTCCACGACCTGAACACATGAAAATGTTGAAAAAATTCGTGAAATCATCAAGGAAGATCGACAACGGACCATTGAAGAAACTGTGGAGCTGTAGGGAGTGACTTGGAGCTCAGTTCAGCGAATTTTGACAGAAGATTTGGGAATGAAAACGGTGGCTGCGAAATTTGTGCCACGACTGCTGACTGCTGAACAAAAACAAGGTCGTGTGGAAGCATGCTGTGCTTTGAAAGATGAGTCCCAAAATGATCAAAACTTTTTTTTGTTTCCTCGAATGGAAAGAGACATGAAAGGAAAGCATTTTGCTGATGTTGCTGAGGTGAAGGAAAAAACGACGGAGGCGCTGTCAAGCATATCAAAAGATGAATTTAGACAATGTTTTGAAAAATGGAATAAAAGACTAGACAAGTGTATTAGTGTAAGTGGAGAGTACTTTGAAGGGGATTGAAGGTTTGTGCTTAAAATTTGAATAAATACGTTAAAAAAAAAATAAGTTTGGTTTCTTTTGGGTACCCCAGGTGGACCGGAGAGCCGGTCTGGATGACATGGAGAAGTGAAAATTCTTGCCCCATCAGGACTTGAACTCTGACCCCTCGGTCGTCCAGCCAGTAGCCAGTCGCTATAGTGACTGAGCTATCCTGGCTCTTATGAAAAAAGTGTGTTGCAAGAACTAATTATGTGAATGCAATTACTCTTGGTTCTTTGGCACAAGGACAACAATTCAAAATCACTCATCAACTTTGAAAATAATTCTTTCTGAGGACTCAATTTCTTCTAAATAACAAAAAAATTCAATTCATACTTCACAGGAAACACATCTCTGCCACAAGGATAAACCAGTTAATACTCTTCAGTGAAACAAATAGTATAGTTACATGTAGTAACCATACAATTCTAAAGGGTTCATATTATTATAATTTTTACATAACAATTAATTTGTTCAAGCTCAATTGCAGAAAGTTTATGCGTCATAAATAAATACCTTGAACAAGTTGTACAAAACAAAAGACAACCTTAATCAAGAAAGAACACCTGGAAAATCTGAAACACTGTTGAACAATACCGCCACATCCATGTTAATTGAAATTAGCATCTACCACATAATTTATATCGGCACATACAGTTGTCCTCAGCAACGGTGATGAAAGTCAAAAGCATAAGTGGCATTCAGGCTCAAGTTTATGTGGCAGTTACAAATACCTGTTTAATGGCAGGGAGGGCTGATACTACAAAACAAATTGGCAGTTTGAAGTTTACTGTCATGACAGTATCCAAATGGCTAGAAGAATCCGAGAAATCTGTCTTCTGCAATGTGATGGAAACAGGAGACATCCTGGAGGTGGAGCACAAAGACCTTCATCACTGGGGAATTGGTATCAGAACAACAGCATCAAGTAAGTGCACGAACAATAAAATGTTTGAAGTAGACAGTTTGGTTTCTGGATGAAATAATTAAAATGTGGATCTTTACCTTTATCCTTTCTAGGTGCATAAAGACCAGAATTTCTAAAGACATGTAGTTGTACAGCCTATTGTATTTTAATAACTAACTCCATAAAATAGGGTCATCCTCAGGAAGCGAACAGTCGACCAGCTAGTCGAAAAATTTGCTGTTTCACACACAAGTTAAGTCTCATTTTCACAAGGTCCCACCAGTGGTCCTCATCCTGAGCCACACAAATCCATATCACATTCATCCTCCCTGATCTGATGATGTGAACAATATTTTGTGAAACGTACAAATTATGAAGATCCTTATGTACTTCTCGTCTGACTCCAGTTACACCCTCTCTCCTGGTTTCAAACATGCTAAAGCCAGAAGGTTGCGGGATCAAATCCTGAATATTCTTGGGGGTAAAGGGCAGCCAGCACGTAAGGCTGACAACCTTACCGCCATCTGTGAGCTCATTGTCTAGAAAATGTGGGAACCTCAACTTCTCACAACCCTATGGTCCTCCACAGCCTATTACAAGGATACCTTTACTTACTTACTTACTTACAATTCTCAAACACACACAATCTATGTTCTTCCCACAGTGTGTGTGAGATGAAGTTTCACAACCACACAAAAAACAGTTAAAATTCAATCTTTACATTTTTAGAAAACAGACAAAGAGACAAAATGTTCTAAACTGAATGTTAGCAAGCATTTCCCAAATTTAACATATAGCATATTTTCGTACACATGTATGAATCTGGATAGGGGAGAACTCCATTTATGTACTGTCACATATAAGAAACTTCAGTGATCTCTGTGAGCGTTCAGAAGATCACTGTTGGTTGCTGAACACGTAAGATAAGAAACAAGTTATTCCTACACTCAAGACTGTAAAATTTAAAGTATGTCACCTATATACACTACATATAATTATTTTAAGTGCATAATAAGAACTGAGATGGCTTCTGAATGAGATGTAAGTACTGTGCTCTAAAAGGGGAACTAATCAAATACATATTCTCCATTGATTCTAACAGTGCAATAAGAGAAGGTAAAGTTGTCCCTGTGCTTATCTAATTAAGCACTAGGCCATGAAGGGGTATGGGAGAGTGGATGTACAGATCCACGTTTTCTTGACCTCAGCACTAGCTGGAGGTGAGTGGTCAGCTTCACACCCCTGCTGCTTCACCCCATGGGGAAAGAGTCCCAAGTACCCATTGGATAGGAGGCTGTGTGGGCCACAGAGCCGGTTTGGATGACACGATAGAAAGAAAATTCTTGCCCCTACCGGGACTCATACTCCAACTCCTTGGTCATCAAACCCACAGCCAGTTGCTATACCAATTGCACTATCCCGGCTCTTAACAGTGCAATATAAAAAATATTCATGTTGAAAAAAAAGTTGGTTATCAGCATAAGTTACTGGAAATAAACAATAATCAAAAAATGATAAAAGAAAAAGACATCTAAACACTGTAAGATTTGAGGTTCTTACAGCAAAGACGATGAAAGTTGCTGTCTCTGGGGATACAATGCCATGAAATCTGGTAGACTGCTACCAGTGTTTATAGAAATATACAGCATCCATGTTCAGGGTAGTCTATGCTTAAGAAGGAGACAGCATGTTCCTCCAAAAGACAGTAACAGACTCTAAACATTAACTCATTAGTGTGGGTTTTTTTTTTCTGTGGCGCTACAGCCCCAATTTTGGGTCTAGGCCTACCTCCATGAAACTCTCCGTTTCACTTCAGTTTACTAGATCTTAGACATTTGGTAGGACTCCTTGGGCGAGTGATCAGCTCGTCGCAAGGCCTCTACCTGTACACAAACACAGAAAAACGCACACAAACATCCATGCCCTGAGTGGGATTTGAACCCACGATCCCGGCTTCCAAGCGAGCGAAGACAGTGCATGCCTTAGACCGCTCGGCTGCCGTGACCCATTAGTGTGGGTTAATTGGTGTCAAATTAAGAACCCCATACCTTTCGCCTAATTAGTAAGTAAAAAGAGTCTTTTTTAACAAACAAGGAATTTTATACACATAAGGGAACAAATCTCACTCCAGTGGATCTCTGTCTTCATTTGTCTGTGATTCTTTCAGGGGTATATAAGTACGTTGAACATTCTCAGGTACTGACTGATACATGATTGACTCCTGCATTTCACAGATCTTCAACTGCCTAGGTTAGGTAACATCAAACATACAGATGACGGTGAATGATGAACAGAATGTGGAGAGAAGCAGATATGACCTCTAATCACTATCCCAGTATATGTCTGGTGGGAATGAGTAAAACCACAGAAATTTTGATCAAGATATCCGGTCTCTTGGTAAAATTTAAACCCAGAAAGACTCAAATACAAATCACATATTCACAAGATCTAATTTTATGTATTCAGACACATACCTCAATACATACAACCACATATTATTGATTACATCAGCCTATTTTGGTTAATTCAGAAATTAAAATACAAGTACGGTATGTCTAGTATTACCAAGTTTCTGGTCTTTATCCTTTTTCTATTATTCCAAACATAACACAAAGTTTCAGAAAGAGACCCAGTTTCTGAGACATACTATTCTGTTCAGAATACCAGAGGGCAGATGAAGTCCATCAACCCAGAAATACTGATATTATATTTAAGCATCCTGTTGCACTATACAGTTCTATATGTAATAATACAAATTCCGTCATAAATGCAGAATTTATTTCGTTGTAGCTCTTTGTCTTTTCTTTCTCTACACTACATGTTTCGGCTGTAACTGGCCATCATCAGGTGTATTTTTCACTATGTAGCTGTCACACTGCACATAATCCAAAATCTAAAACACCAGCCTGTCAGTTTTGTGTAAAATCTCGCCAAAATATGCTCTTCAATTCGATTTTAAATTTTAAATTTGAATTCTAAAATCAAATTGATGAGCGTATGTTGGCAAGATTTTACACAAAACTGACAGGCTGGTGTTTTAGATTTTGGATTATGTGCAGTGTGACAGCTACATAGTGAAAAATACACCTGATGATGGCCAGTTACGGCCGAAACATGTAGTGTAGAGAAAGAAAAGACAAAGAACTACAACGAAATAAATTGTGCATTCATGACGGAATTTGTATTATTACANCGCCAAAATATGCTCTTCAATTCGATTTTAAATTTTAAATTTGAATTCTAAAATCAAATTGATGAGCGTATGTTGGCAAGATTTTACACAAAACTGACAGGCTGGTGTTTTAGATTTTGGATTATGTGCAGTGTGACAGCTACATAGTGAAAAATACACCTGATGAAGGCCAGTTACGGCCGAAACATGTAGTGTAGAGAAAGAAAAGACAAAGAACTACAACCAAATAAACTGTTGCATTCACGACGGCATTTGTATTATTACATATAGCAGAAATACTGACATCAACAGGCCTCTTATAATGTAGTACAGCACAGTATGCTATACCACAGTACAGACAGTAAATTACACATTTTAATCTTGTAGGGAGCACAGGTGCCGAAGGAATCCAAATCGTAAGCTACAGACCCAATGAGGGCAAAGTCATACAGGAGAAACTAGAGAAATTCTGGGTGCCCGACAGCCGGATACGAATCAACAACAAAAGCGATAGAACTATGGCATATCATAACGAAGAAGAGATCAAGCAACAGGTGGCATATGTAGGTAGACTATGTTGTTTATTTCTTTAACCCACTGTGTACTGATAATAAGCTCGACATTCGATCCTCAGTGGAAAGCCAAACCATTATATATCAAGTCTGGTTTCATCTTCTTGGACATGCAAATAAGATTCCAAGGTTACTTAAAGTCCCAGGTGGTTAAGAATGTTACTTCTTTTCGCTCTTCATATTCATACCCGGTTGTAGTGTTATGAATGAAATACAAAGCCCAGCAAAACCCAGATTTAGCGATATCCTGTACTTATTGAATATTTTTATAGTTCCAACCAAAGCAAAATATAAACAATGTATTATTTTCCTATATTTCATGAATTTAAATTTAGTAAATGACCAGCATTTAATATAAGAAATATGTGACTTTGCAGAACTCGTATCTTAACTTAGAGTGATTGTGGCTGAAACAGTAATCAATATTCATATTACTCTCTGCAGAAAACATTACTGTACAGCTTTGCACTCCACACATCATTAACTACTTTAGAAAATAATTTTATATCTTTAATTAAACAACTACACTTATCTGTGGAGAAACACTTTTCTTAACTACTTCAGAAATGATTTTATAACAATTACGAACATCTTAAAAGAAGATGAACAGTTTCTTGACATAATTTTTCATAATTACCATTAAGTGAAAACCCTGGTTCAGTTTAGGAAATGCCCCTCCTCTCGGATTCATGAAAGATGTCGCTGTATGCACATTCAAAATGAACTGGATAATGTAGCAGGTCATTCCAAAAAATTATAAACAATACAATCACTAATAAGGGAGCCAGGATAGCACAGTCGGTATAGCAACTGGCTACAGGCTGGATGACTGAGGATTCAGAGTTTGTGTCCCAGTAGGGTCAAGAATTTTCTCTTCTCCACATCGTCCAGACCAGCTCTGGGGCCCTCCAAGCCTCCTATCCAAAGGGTACTGGAGGCTCTTTCCTCATGGATAAAGCAGCCAGGGTGTGAAGTTGACCACTCACCTCCAGCTAGTGCCAAGGTCAAGAAAATGTGGATCTATACATCCGCTCCCCCATATGCCTTCATGGTACAGTACTTAATTAGTTGAGCAGAAGGGCAAATTTACCTGTTTTGCAATCATTACTATGCAAAACAATGGCAAGTTATAAGTCAGGTTCTATACTGCAATAACTATCAGCATTGGTACTAGAGGTACACTTATTTCACAACATCACTCTGTTTATGTGTTTATTGTGTACATTTCTGATAAATGAGTAATGTAATACCTTTGCATTCTATCTAATGTCAGCCCTGCCAAGTGCTTAATAACGCATATGGGCTTACACAAGTTATCTTATCATGTCACTCAACACATAAGTTTATCTTGACTGTAATTATACAGAATGTGAAAGTATATAATTCATACTTAATGAGTGCATTTGTAATTTAAGCTAATGAAAAAAAATTTATCTTCATGGCAAGAAATAAGGCTTCCGGTGTGAACGAGTTGCTAGTTCATTACGTTCATCATCATACGTCAGTGCGCAAGATGGCTCAGGCTGTAATGTTTCTGACTTGTGCACAGAAGATGCCCATTATAACCACGGACAAGACACCGACTATCCTCAAGGTTTAGTGGGGCTCTTCAGTCCTGTCAGACAAATGTCAGGACAGCAGCCAGAAATAGGCCACAATCACTTCCTTTCACCCTGTTTCCAATTCATCAATTGTCTTACTATTCACTATTATAGTGTGTTGTTAAATAAATCATAAATACAGAAACAAATGAACTAATCACCCACTAAAAGTTCCCACCACTGCAGTCATCTTCAGACACACCCTTTTCCATTCTTCTAAATACTTGCATAACACTCCTCTTTTAAGCCTACCCACCTTCCTGTAGCATCTTACATACTCATACACACATAGGATGTCCCAGGTGGAAAGGCCAATATTCTGGGAGTTCACAGTATTGATCATTCTACAATAGATCACTGTTGGTTGGAGTGCAGGAACCAGATTGTGGCCCACCCCCCATACATATACATATATATATATATACACACACACATACATACATACATACATACATACATACATCAGTCATTCTAAACAAAAAGTGTACGTGTACATGTGTCTCTTCCGAACGGTTTCGAGATAGAGCTACTTCACTGTACAGTTCCAAAATTGTTGACAAGAAAGAGATATTACGTACTGTTTCTAATGCTGGTATTTATTGTTCAAGTGATAAAATTGGTACAGTTTACCTAGTATAATACATTTTCAAAATCTCCACCATCAAGATCAATTCACTTTGCAACTCGTGTGAGGAGTGAGCATATGGCGTGTTGCTCGTCTGTACACTGTACAGTGAAACAGCTCTATCTTGGAAACCATTCAGAATAGGACACGTGTACACATACAATTTTTTGCTTAGGATGACCAATACTATGACCTCTAAGAATGTTGAGCTTTCCTCCTGGGACATCCTGAATAACATGCACACAGAGCATTATATTCAGTGTACTGTAAGCAGAGGGGCAGTTTTAATAAATAAAAAAAAAAAAAAAAAAAAAAAAAAAGCTAAGGCAATCTGGCATACTGTTCAAGTGAAAGAAATGGCCATCACTGGTTATGCTGATTTGTCCTATCTTCACTTTTCCTACAGTTAATTTTTAGCAAATGACTTATGCCTACAAAAGAGAATTCTAATATTACAGCAAATAATTTTGTATCCTGCCTGATTTTCATGCAATATAATTTTTTAAGTCTCACACCTCTTGACCTCAGGTTACTCAGCCAATGCTTGAATTAACTGCCTTTAATAGCAACGGGGCACTGCCTAGCCTCTGCAATAATGATCTGTACTTCTAACGTGCACCACATTGAAAAGCTGGAGAAACATCAGTTCACCTGATAGATCTGACAAGCTGAGGTCACAGCTTCATTCTACAGATCTGTTATGTTCATGGAAAGCAACAGTGACTGTCACTTCTTGTTTCAGGCACTCAGACATCATAAAAAGCAGAAGTGGCACAACAGTGAACATTTTGCTCACTGGTGTCGACATGGTAAAAAAGCTGGGACTACAAAGGAGAGAAATGTAAGTTTGCATTCCATTATAATTCCATAATCTGGTCATAAAACCAATCACTCACAGTCTATTTGTGCTTCAGAATTGTTCTTCACAGGCCACAAAATTTGAGACATGGCTCTTGTTCTCAACTGTTTCAACTCATCATGCTTAGCCTGTGTAGGTGACACTGTGTTATTAAAAAAACAAAACTTGATACAAGCCACCCACCCTTTATCCCAAGGAAGATTCCTGGTACTCATTTCTGTTAGAGGCTGAGTTGACCCTGGGGCCATATTGCAACTGCAAGGATTAGGTCAACTGAAAAAATCCAATGACCTCATCGGGAATTGAATCCATGACTTTCCAGCTTGCAGCATAGTGCCTCAACCAACTACACTACCGCATGCCCCCAGCAGTCTTTGAGTCCTGCATCCTATGCTTAGAATCCAGTACCTAGCAACAACTAGTACTATGGTCCTGGAGTCAACTCAGCCTCTAATAGAAATGAGTACCAGGAATCTTCATGGGGGGTAAAGGGCAGCAGGTGCGTAAGGCTGACCTCACCAACATCTGTGAGCCAACTGTCTAGAAAATGTGTGAGCCTCAACATCTTACACCCCTATGGGCCTCCACTGCCTGTTACAGGGATAGCTTTACCTTTACCTTAGTTGTAGTGATCTACAGAGCACAAATCAGTGTGATTATTACAGGTTTCTTTTTAATTGCTAGTGGGGTGGGACTAAGTCCCTTGAACTGCGTCCACTTCTGGCCTATTGTACCAGCCCAATGATATGTGACGGTGATTGTGGAGCAACTGGTGGAATGAAGATTGGCAGGGGAACCAAAGTACTCAGAGAATACCTGCCCCAGCGCCACTTTGACCACCACAAATCCCACTTGACAGACCCAGGATTGAACCCGGGCCACTGTGGTGGGAAGCCAGCGACTAACCGCTTGAGCTATGGGATTATTATGGTTACTTGTAGTTATGATTTATAAGCGTTCAATAAATCCAAATATCAATCCAAACTCGGTGTCTAGTCAATAATATGTGACAATTAAGCCTGAAATTATTAGTGGAGTACTTCAAACTTCTGAGAAGCTTCAAGCAACATATAATAATTGTCTCTCCTCTCCATGTTGTCAGGTCAGTGATATGGCAAAATGGGGAAGCATATCAGCCAGTGCGGGAGCATGGATGTTCATGAAAATCAGAAGGCAGCGACACAGTACAGAATAACAACGGTCCAATCACTTCTTTACTATACAGGACTGGACCCACCTCAGCATGTCTTTTGTTAATTCAGTGGCATATTTTACTGTATTCAAAGCTCCTAATTAATTTAAAGATATTTACTCAGCAGGATACTGTAGAGTCAACTTTAAATTGGAAGGTAGTGAGAATCTCAGCTCAATTAAATGCTCTCACTGACAGAACATTTTTGGATTTCCTTAGTCCCTCCATATGAATACCAGGACAGTATCTTGAATAGGCCAAGACAGCCTCCTTCCAAATATTTACACAGACCAGTGTAAAACAACATAAGAATCATTTAATCTGTAATACGATCTTAAAACAACTGCATCAAAATGATGACAAAACTTCCACAGAGATATGCTATATCCCCCGCCTCTTCCATTAACAGACTTTCGTCTGTGGATACTTCATGGCTCTCAAAGTCATCAACTTCACAAAAACTACTTAATGTCCTGCATCTGTTCAATATGCCAAAGGGTGATCAACAAATGTTACAATGTAGCATATATGATAACATACAAAAATAAGAAAATAATCACTTTTTATGTATATAGTGTGGCATTACATATTTGCCAGAATTTGTAGGCATACTCTACAGGTCATCTCAGGCAAAGAAATTCTCTAAATCAACAGTTTGAACCACCGCCATTATCAAGTTAAGCACCAGTGTAGTGTAGTATGCTAGCACCACTAATCTGATTATTTTATTCAGCTGTTGTAGTTGTTTCTAACTGTGCAGTGTTTGTTAAATTCCTTTCACGCTTCACCCTCCCCAGAGGTGCCCATCACAGACATATTCACTGTACTAAAGCTATGAGAATCACTAACATTGTTACTGGTATCACTGACAAGAATGAATGATGTAACTAATTTCAATAAAGTATTTTCTAGACACACTGTGTTATACCCCTACATTTCTATTTATACAAGGTGCATTCCAAAAGTAAGTTCCATGTGCTTTCTGTTACAAATTCAAATACTTTCCTTGAATGATCGAGAAAAGTGACAAAAAGTATTCGACTATTTGTGGACGAGATTAATTTTAACGTACAAATGGACCTCGTGGTACAGACATATGCCACAGCAGGGAAAAATTACATTGGACACTGGTTCTTAAAAGATTAAACTATGTGACCACTTCACAAGAAAAAGCAAAATTACATGAAGTTATTTTACAGATTCGTTTATGTGGTAATTTCAGAACATTCTGGGACAGAAGGAAATACAGTGACAATATAACAAATACGCTGAAGCCTGCTCAATCATGGCATATATATATTCTTCGCAATACAACAATAGTTTGAGGCAAGTGGGTCCCAAGACTTCTTAGTGCCTCCAGAGTCAAGATATGGCTCTTGTCCTGGGACTTTCTGTAGCTATTATGTATGTAGGATTTGAGGTTCTCACAGCAGTGGTTATGAAGAGTACTCTCTTCTGGGATATAGCGCTGTGTAGGATATGAGGTTCTCACAGCATTGGTTATGAAGAGTTCTCTCTTCTGGGATGTAGCACTGTGTAGGATCTGAGGTTCTCACAGCGGTGGTTATGAAGAGTTCTGTCTTCTGGGATATATCGCTATGTAGGGACTGAGGTTCTCACAGCAGTGGTTATGAAGAATTCTGTCTTCTGGGATGTAGCGCTGTGTAGGATCTGAGGTTCTCACAGCGGTGGTTATGAAGAGTTCTGTCTTCTGGGATGTAGCGCTGTGTAGGATCTGAGGTTCTCACAGCGGTCATTATGAAGAGTTCTGTCTTCTGGGATATAGCGCTGCGTAGGATCTGAGGTTCTCACAGCGGTGGTTATGGAGAGTTCTGTCTTCTGGGATATAGCGCTGCGTAGGATCTGAGGGTCTCACAGCGGTGGTTATGGAGAGTTCTGTCTTCTGGGATATAGCGCTGCGTAGGATCTGAGGGTCTCACAGCGGTGGTTATGGAGAGTTCTGTCTTCTGGGATATAGCGCTGCGTAGGATCTGAGGGTCTCACAGCGGTGGTTATGGAGAGTTCTGTCTTCTGGGATATAGCGCTGTGTAGGATCTGAGGCTCTCACAGCAGTGGTTATGAAGAGTACCGTCTCCTGGGATATAGCGCTATGTAGGATCTGAGGGCTTATTCTTTGATCCTGAAGATAGAGGCAACATGTTCCTCTGAATTGTCAGCTGACTTTAAACAGACTACATGGCATTATATCCCAGAAGACAGAACTCTTCTATTACATGTTCTGAAGCAAAATTTTGAACATCTTCAAATATATATATTCTATCAAGAAAGTCGTCTTCTGGGATCTGGCNTCGCCGTGAAAACCTCAAATCTTACATATATATTACATGTATACATCTTCAGTGAGGGAAGCATGCATCTGGAATACTGAAGTTCACTTTGGTACTCACCTCCCGCAATAATCCAAACAGAACATCTGTGCTGAGAGAACGTTCATGAGCCTCGTCCATGATAATGGCACTGTAGTTGTCCAAGTCTGATTCTCGAAGGGACTCCCTCAGAAGGATACCATCAGTCATATATTTGATCATTGTTTTCTGCATAGGAAGACACAGCAGGCAATTTGGTAGCTGTTAAGTGACCCTACTCCTTAAACAATATGATGTAAAACAATTGCTTTTCATTTATTTGAAATAAAATTACTATCCATTATTCTTCACAGAAACCTAAAAATGTTGATTTCACTGTACACGGCATGAGAGATGAAGTAAGAGTGTTACCTTCTGAGGTGTGATGTGGCTGGCCACTTTCCTGATAGCTCATCTTAGTCTTTTACCCCAAAGATGGAGACACTATGTTTCTCTTTAAATTGCTTAATATTAATCATACTACATTGCATCAAATTCCAGGCACTATCCTTGCTGCTAACCGCCTTCTTGCTAGCTCTACTTATCTACAACCCTGAAGATGGAGGCCGTACATTCCTCCAAAACTTGTATTGAACTATACAGCATCATATCCCACAAGACAGCACTCTTAATAGTCACTACCATGAAAATTCCAACCCTCAGAAACTCCAGTGATATTTTATAATGACAATGCACTTATTATTACGTATTCAAAAAAAAACTGCTGGAAAAATAGAGGATACATACTCGTATGTACACATATATTTTATGTATAATTGACAACAGGATTCCTCTGAGATTGTAAAAAATTAAGATGCTGAATAAAAAACCACTGACAAGACAGGCAGGCCATGTGAGGGAAGAAAAACGAAATGGAATTGAGGAGTGGACAGTGACAAACAGACAAGAATGGGCAAGGTTTCATCATAAGACAACCCACCATGCTGGAACAATGACATATTGCCCCCCCCAAAAAAAAAAACTTACCTCTGAAGTACAATCTTCAAATCTGATGGCATAACCCACTTCCTCACCAAGATGGGTGCCCATTTCATCAGAAACTCTTTTCGCTACAGACATGGCTGCAACACGGCGAGGTTGAGTACAGCCAATCATACCATAGTGACTATAACCATCCTCATGAAGGTACTGCGTAAGCTGTGTTGTCTTGCCGCTCCCTGTCTCACCCACTATAATCACTACATTGTTCTCTCGTATCACATTTAACAGCTGCAAGCAATACAATACAATATATGCACTATAATAACTGCTGACAGAATGGTCACTAAAAAGGACTCTCTTAAACTGACCCCTGAACTAGGAACATCTAACGTCTATGACAAGCAAGGGAGCTGGGCCCCATGTCTTACCTCTTGTCTGACAGCGAAGACTGGCAGATACCTCCGCTGCTGAAGAATAGTTTTCTTCTTAGCAAACTCACTAGAAGCTTCAGCAGTTTCCTGCATGTGTTCTGCAAATTTCTGGTCCGTTTTGTAGTCTGTTTCATCATCTGCATTCACTCTTTCATCCTTCTCTTCCTCCTTCTTCTGCACACCCATGATGTTGCCGATAGTGGTTCCTGCTATCTCCCAATGCTTCTTCTGCGCCTTCTTTCTTTCCTTCTGCTCTCTGAATGCCCGAACAAGAGCCGATCCTTTCCTTGCAACCATTGCCATGTCTGATGTCGGATCCTATTCACAGTAAAACATGAACATTTCTTATGAGAGGTGAGGGTCTCACAGAGGTAACTATGAAAAATGGAATGTGGCATATGTACACTGGTAGAAGTTCATCACTGGGTTAGAGGAGCATGCTGCCTCCATCTTCGAGGTTAAAAAGTAAGGCAAGCAAAGTGCTTTCTTGGTATCTGACTTATTCTTCATCCCTGATGATGGAGGCACAACAGTCATCCAAATTACTGACAAACTTCTAAAATACAGGGTTATTCATAAGTCTGTGAAACATTTTAAAAATTCACAACAAATATATTATGCATCATATCATGGTAATTCTTACACCGACAGAGAATGAATCTCTCCAAGTCCTTTTCTTAAAGTCATTGCCTGCTAATCTCAGGGATCTTCACAACCGTATCACCACTGCTGTGGCTCTGATCAACCGTGATATGCTGACACAGGTGTGGGACGAAATGGATTAGCGCACAGATGTCTGCAAAGGTGGACACATTGAGCATTTGTGAACTATGTAGAAAAATCTTGGTAAGTTTATCTCTATTTCAGTGTAATAAAATTTGGTATCCGTAGTTTATTTATTGTAAATTTTCAGAATGTTTCAGACTTATGAATAACCCTGTACTACACAGCATCACATCATATAAGACACTATTCTTCATCAGTACTTATCCTTTCTGTCTGTTCTTTAGCCCTTCAATTCACAAGAATTTCTGGCATTTGCTGTACATCACAGAACAAGTTTTAACACTTTTATAATTTCAATATGTATAACCAAATTCAATCCACATCTGATTCATAAAAATGCATACCTCCATCATAAAATTCAATGTTGTAAGAATTCTGCTACCAATGCAATATGTTCACATTTCCTTGTTCTATACCAATTACTGTTTATTTATTTCAGCACTGCAAAAACTATTCTTTAAGAGCATAACTATAGAACTTACTAAATTATAACATGAGCTAGTTTCTGTTTTTATGTCTATTCAAAAAACAAGAGGTAATATGAAGAAAACAATATAGAAAACTCGAATGTGATCAACGAATATAAAGAAAATTTCATTAGCAGAGAACTACATTACTTGCCCAGCATAATTAATAAATGTAAAAAAAAAAAAAAAANGTGCAGGCCCATAGGGTTGTGAGACACTGAGGCTCCCAAATTATCTAGACAATCTGTTCACAAATGGTGGTGAGGTTGTCAACTTTACACACTGGCCAACCTTACTCCCAGGAAGATTCCTGATACTCATTTCTCTTAGAGGCTCAGTCTCTGAGTCTATCCCAGGGCCATAGTTCACCTGGAAGGATCAGGTCAAATGAAAAATCCAATGACCCCATCAGGAATCAAACCCACGACCTTCCAGCTTGTAGCATAAGGCCTTAATCAATTACCATACAGTGTGTCCCCAATAAATAAACATACTCATTTATATTTAGAAATACATGTTTCAATGCTCTGTCCTCAAGAGTCATCTTCACTGTCCTATTGGTCAAAAGAAATGTCTTCATGGTTATTAACAATGAATTACTCACCTTATTATTATTCACTTCTATATAATTCTGCTGTCACACTTGGCTACAAGCATTCACACATTATTTGATGTAGGCCTACACTCTAACCTGACACTAATTAGCATTTTCATTCAGTATTTCTAACATTACACCCCACACCAAATTAAACTATCACTGTCAGCACCACAGTATTGGGAGACTGAAAATGTCCTATTCCTGAACAATAAACTGTTATTCCCATAGCAAAATCTGGCTGCCAACTCTGTAATACTGAAAGAATCAAAATCCCCCATTCTCTGACTGTAAAGATTGATAAAGTAAATAAGCTGGCATCTTAAGTTCTTCCAAGAACTTCCTATTAAAGTGATGCAACAAAATCTCAATAACTTACCTTAACAGGAACCACAGGTTCTGGCTGTTTTGTGAATACAATGCGGCCATCTAGGAATGGAGGAACAATATTGTGTACTAAAAGATGGACTCGGTCCACATTCTCTTCATCAAAGTCTTCATCCACATCGACAGAATGAACCACACCGCTTGTCAGCATCCTGTTTCGCTCCCACAGCTCATTGTCCTGGAAACACATTAATGGTCAGATAACAGCAGTCACTGAAATAAGTACGCCACACACACAGCACAACTTACAGAGACTGCAGCATTAACAGATTCTTCACACAGAGTGCATAAAGTTAATGTACAACAGCAATGTCAGATCTCTCCACCTTTACATCTGATTCCAAAATTACTCAACTGGTTTTGATGAAATTCAGTACTGGAACACACTGGTTAATTTATAAACCCCACTGCTAAACATTTACTAACTCAACGGAGGGAAGATGATCCTCAGAACTCTGTAGTCAGTCATCTGAACAAGATATAACCCACCTTTTATGAAACCAGAAACTTTATTATCATGCTAACAAAGCCGATCACTGGACCCATCCTAAGCCAGCTAAATCCACTTCACATGTTACACCTTATTCCTTTAAGATGTATTTTAATACTAGCTTCCTATGCCTAGGTCTCTTGACGTGATCTTCCTTCCAGAGTTCAAATTAAAATTTTTTATGCACTTCTCAGTTCCCCCACGCAAGGTAGATGTCCCACCTATCTCATCCTCTTTGTTTTGATCACACCATAAATTTTCGTAACACAACCCTCTGCTGACCATTATTCTCACATTCATCCTACCATAGGGTGTAACAGAATCTGCATCGTGGGTGCCCTCCCCCCTTCAGAAATGGATTCTTGTCCCTTGCCCAGATGGGCAGAGGGCTGAAAGGTCAACACCAACCACAGCTTGTGGCACCAGACAAACAGCAACAAACTACTGTAACACACAAATTTATCGAATTCTTCAAATGGGGCTCACTGTACAACAAATCAATGCATAATGTGCAATATTGATCTCATTAAGATTTGTAGCTTTTATTTGAAACATTTTTAATACACTGAACATTTAACATAATATAAGTAAAAATAATCTGGCATACAGACCTGCTGCTAAGTGGTGACTCTGTAAACAGCAACCACTGTTATGCAATGGTATGGTAAATATGCCTCTACAACAAGAACTGTTTTCTATGTGGTTTGTGCCAAAATGTTATAAGCGAGACGAGGTTTGGAGCTTAGTCAGTTGAGAGTCAGTTCTGTGCAGGAGTCAGTGAACGGAGGACCCGAGCCAGAGGCAAAGGAATAGCCATTGTTGGAGCAGTTACCAGGAAACGTCTCGTAACAGACAGAATAGTAGACTGTGTGCTGTAGTGAACTGTGAAGTGTGGAAACAATGATAGTGTTATAGTCATTTGTAGTTACAACCTGTAAGTGGTCAGTAAACCTATTCACCAATCCAAACCCCATCTAGAGTCATTCTAAATTGTGACAATAATTTCTGGCTCTGTGCAGTGTAACGCCTGTAGCTTTGCAATAACATCTATATTTGCAGTAAAAGAACATCAAAGTGAATGATGTGGAAAACTATTAAAAAACACATTTGGAAAATTATGTTTAATACTGGAATACCAGCTTCCACTATTGTTAACAATTTACTATACAGAAATTCAGCTGTCTCATCATTATGATCTGATGAATGAAAGTATAAATTCCTGAAACCAGTTTTCTGCAAACAATTTTTTGGGATACCCATATTACAAACATAATATTTCGGAAATAAAATCCCAAATTACCTTGTTAATCTGTCGCTGCTGTGCTGACATACGCTTCTTTCTCCTTTGTTCCAACTGTTCTTCCTTCTTTTTCGTGTAGTCCTCACTTAGATTAGCAAATGGGTTGTTATCGCCATCATACCCTTCGTCTATTGCATACCATTCCCTGTCCAGTCTCTTCTGTTCCTCCTCCCACAACTCCCGGTCCTCATTCGATGCCCACTGCACATCATTCTCTGGGGGCAGGAAAAGCAAACACTTTAACTTCCATTAAACAATCACGCAACACAAAGCGCCAACACTAGACACAAATCAAAACCAGTTTCATCCACTCCTCATCCTCACTATCTCTTTTACCAAGGATAATCCTAATACAGTCATCAGTTCTTCGGGTCTATAACTGGCCGATATTCCACACCTTTTCCTCCACATGACCCTACTGTCCTAATAACATTAGACAATTTGCATACATCACAAAATTCCCTGTTATATAACATTCCCACAAAAATAACTTCACCCATATTGAAACCTACCATTTTCTTAAGCACTTCTTCCGAACACAGAACTACAGTCTACAAGCAACTGAACTCCACTGACTTTCTCAGAAAAAGATCCTCATATAAAAAATGTACACAAGATTCAATATACAAATCCCATACAGATCTACAACTTTTATATAAACCAAAGATTATGATCTTCCAGTTTCCTCGGAAACTATCAGTGGACTTCTACCAAGGTACACAGTGTTACAACCCAAGAGATCAGTCTGATCATTGCCACCACTATGAGAATCTCAAATCCAATTTTATTCTATAGTTTACAACATAAAATAATTAGTAAAATACAAGAAAAAAAATTATCTGGGTAACATGAAACACTTTACAGCAGTACAGCTCTGTCTGCAATATATCGCCTTGGCAGAACATTGGCTTTGTTTCTATTGTTGAAACAAAATTTATACTATTAAATACAAAAAGGCTATCTCATTTTAGCTACCTCTGCCAGGTAATGGAGTTGCTCCACTTTTCTTTCGATCTCTGGCCCAGGAGTTGTACTTGTGAGCAGGAGTGGGTCGTGGGGTATCATCATGTCTCTGTTTGCGGTCTGGCTTATCTGTGCCTCTTCGGGAGCTTCTCTCTGACCAGTCAACATCAGGTCGTCCCGCAACTGGTGTAGGCAAGTCCCAGCTGGAGCGACGAGAAGGAACAGGATCGTCCTCATCCCAGCTGGTTCTGAAGACAAAGTCAATTAAAACAGAGTTATTATACCATAGCTGCATGAGGACATGTGGATCAAATCTTGAATTACAAGCTGACTTTGCGTTTTCCTTTCGTCACCTACATATAATGTCAGTTACTATTCTCTCCTCGTTTTCTCTTTATTTACACTACATGTTTGGGCCTGGGATAGCGTAGTCAGTATAGCAACTGGCTACAGGTTGAATGACCGAGAAGTCAGAGTTCAAATCCCAGTAGGGGTCGAGAATTTATTCTTCTCCACATTGTCCAGACTGTTGCTGGGGTCGACCCAACTTCCTATCCAATGGGTACTACAAGCTCTTTCCCTGGGGGTAGAGTGGCCCGAGCATGAAGCTGACCACTCACCTACAGCTAGTGCTGAGGTCAAGAAAATGTGGATCTATACATCCACTCCCCCATACACCTTCATGGTGTAGTGCTTAATTAGTTAAGCACAGGGACAACTTTACCTTTTTACATGTTTGGGCCTAAAAAGCCATCATCAGGTGTACAGGTTGTTGTGATTAAGGAATCTGCTTCAACAGCATTACCATGGGCAGCAGATTCCTTAATCACAACAACCTGTACACCTGATGATGGCTTTTTAGGCCCAAACATGTGGTGTCAGTAAAGAGAAAATGACGAGAGAACAGTAACTGACATTACACAGAGACAGCACAAAAGCAAAATGCAAAGTCAGATCTACTCAGTGCAACACAATGCAGCAATATGCTTACTAACTGGCTCCACTGAAATCCCCCCACATCTGATGTCTCTCATTTTAAAACATTTCTCGGTTTAGTGTTCAAATCCACTGCATCCTGAGGATCCTTATGTGGGGATTTTGCTATAACTACTTCATTAATTAACTAATTGCTGTCCTAGAATATTTCAGAGAAGGCCAGGGTCAACTGAATTCCTACAGGATATCGTCAAATTCACTAACAGAAAGAAGGATTAATAAAAGGGTATGTGGATTAGTCATGGGGAAGATGCGAGAAAATTAACTATACAGTTGTGATGCACCACTCCCCTCCAGTGCTTTTTCCTTCAGATAAAACACAAGCTCCCACTTCAGGGCCCCACTATTTATGGCACACTTGTGCTTCCACAGGAAAATTCAGTGGACCCTAGTAAAAACACTGGGCAGTAATAAAACAACTCAGCCCAGAACACACCACAGCATACACACAGCTCAAGATATACTCACCTACTTGTCTTGCAGGAAGTGCAAAATCATGGCTCACAACTAAAAAAATTAATGATTTGGTTTTTAGTTTTATTTACTGACATTTTTCAAGCTGTGTTTATTTCACACAACCAAATGGTAGGATTATTGATTGAGAAATTGAAAACTATGTGGAAATAAGCAGCTGACATGGCCTATTTTAAAGTGTTACTCCAGAGTTTACCTCCGGGGAGTGAGGCAAATCACAGAATATCTTAGTGATGATTTCCAGTCTCCAGATTGAGAAATTCAACCTGGACTTCCAGCATATTCAAACTAAAAGTACTAACTACTCAACCACAGATTTTTGTATGGTAAGGCAAAGTTGTCCCTATGCTTAATTAAGCATACACCATGAAAATTAGTAGAGGTGAGTGGTCAACTTCACCCTTCCGCTATTTCATCACCAGGGAGACATACCATGACATCAATTGCACAGGAGACAGAGTGAACCCTAGAGCCAGTCTAAGACCTGAAGAGAAGGAAAAAAATCTCTTGTCCCTACTAGGAATCAAACCAATTCCTCAGTCATCCACCTGTAAGCTCATTCGCTACATCGACAGAGATATCCCAGCTATCTACAAGTATTGGTAAACTGAAAATGATTCCCCCAAGTGACACTGTTTGAACAGCAGCCCTTACCTGGATGGTGAGTCCTTTATTTTTATGTTCGGAGTAAGTGGCTCATCCTTAAAGCGTGGTGTTTCGCTCCAATCTGACCTGGAAGACCCCCTGTCTCGACCACTCCTAACTGAACTCCTTTGACTGTCCCTGTCTCGACCTCTCCTATCCCTGTGATCTCTCCTCTTAACCCTGTCTCTATCTGAAACATCATTTTTCAGAATGAGTACAAGATTGATCCAAAGGGACCATAATAAGAAAGACATGAACAGACAACAGCCTAATGCACCATCAATGAAAGTATCAACTCATACAAACAGGTCTTTCTTTTCTGTGTCATACTGAATAAAATAACACTTCAGAAATGCTTATAGGAAAATTAACTGAGGCACAAAACAGTACACATAACTCATCAGACTGCCTACAGATGGCAGAATCATCTTTATTTAATATATTGACTGCAACCTTCTACACATGACAATACAAATGCAACAATGTCGGAGATAATCTTTACAGCACTAATGATAATCACACAAGACACATTTAATGCTGCACTCCAGCAGCAGAGTAACGTCAAGCACTGACATCAGCAGAACTAATAACTCCCTCGTTACCTCTGTCACGTGAACCCCTCTCTTTATCATGAGAGTGTCGATGTTTGTCATGGTTCTTCTCATTGTGATCTCGTTCCTTCTCCTGATCTATGCCCTTGGAAGAGGCCTGCAACACACTGCGTTCCTTGTTCTTCTGCATCCGCTCCACTAACCTGTCACGAGCTTCTTTTGATATGCCACCCGTGTATGACGGAGTTTCCACATGAGCTGGGCGGTAGTTTCTATAAAACAGAGATTAAGCAAAAATATAAAAAGTGAGAGTTGAAGTTCTTATTTGCTTACTTACATCATATCACATCCAAGGTGACTGCAATCTCAAGACATAAACACATTTTTATATAACATAACAAAAAGATATAAAGTTACAGCTGTGCCTAACCATGAACATGCACACAGTCAAATCCAAATATTCTAGTCCTCAGCATGAAACAGAAGTGAATTTCTCTTCAGACTTTGTTTTATTTACCCCAGGAAAAAGATGCCAGTAATCATTAGGTAAGAGGCAGGGTAAGCCCCACAGCTGACCTGAATGTGATGTCAAAAGACTGAAACACTACCCATTATGAGAATCAAATCCTAGTCAACCAATCTGCGGACAGTCACTTTACTTACTGAGCTATCTTGGATCACAATGTATTAGTAATTACTATGCAAGGACACTCATTCCTTAATACATGCATAAAATATATCCTACCTATATCATTTCTACAACCATGCTCCAGCTAGAGACCATGGATGCCAGTATGAGGTGGCAAGCCAGGCATCTATATCACCCCACCCCCTATTTTTTTTAAAAAGAATACAACCAAAATTTAAAAAAAAAATACATATATATGACATACAAGGAAGAGTCAGTAAATAGGTCACAAATAGATATAAAATGTAAAACATGCCATATTCGAACCTGAAAAGAAACATGTATTCCTTGACATATCCTCCACCAACACACTTGTTCCATCACTTTACCAGTGTGTTGAATCCCACTGCATAGGAGCCTTTTGTCTGTTGTCTCAGCCACTTCCATGCCTTCGTTGCGTCATATGCGACTTCTGAATATCCATGAGGGAATTTCTCAACCCAGTAGTGAACCACTTTACACTTCCCACCATAAACAGGAAATACTCTTCATGCATATCCTTTGCACTGAGCCCTTCTGCCCACAAAAAACACACATCAGGACACTTTCAGCAGTACAATCCTCCAGAATGGTCGCCATTTTGACTACTGAAACCAGTCTCTGTACATACGCATGCATGCTTAAGTGGTTAGTCGCTGGCTTCCCACTGCTGCGGTCTAGTCAAGCTGGATTTGTGATGGACAAAATGGCGCTGGGGCAGGTTTTCCCCGAGTACTTTGGTTCCCCTGCCAATCCTCATTCCATCAAATTCTCCATAAGCATTATCACCGGTACAGGTACAATAGGACATATGGAAGCCGACATGCCGAGGGGACCTAATATGGATTCCACCTCACACTATATGAACTCTTAACTATTGTAAACGACTGTAAGTATTGTGACTTATTCTCTTAATGTAATCAGCCAATGTATAGTAACTGACTTGTCCTATATCATGTAACAATGATCTACAGAAACGAAATAAAAAAATAAATAAAAATAAAAAATATCTGCTACCTAGACTGTTATGAAGTTAGACTGTACTGTTACCCAGTGATACACATAGAAAACCTATTACATCCATTACAGCTGCTGTACTTCCACTTGTGACCTACTGACTGACTGTCCTTAATTCATAATTCATAATTCATAACTTTATTTACATCCATAACTGTAAAATATACAATCGGATAAAGTCAAAGGGAATATACAGATTTAATAACAATCACACCTAACATAATCAAAGAATACATAAATACTTAAATATATTATATAAAAGAAAACCACCAGCACATGCATTAACAGACAATTACAGTCATTTAATTCAACATCTTACATATAAAAAAACTCCTGAAGAGAGTAGAAGGCATTATGCAACAAATAACACTTCAATTTCCTCCTAAACACTTTAAAATCAGATACATTCTTTAACTCCATAGGAAGATTATTGTATAGTTTTATGCCCATGTTTATCACACTTCTCTTACAACGATTTGTATTACAATGTTGGGCATACAGATTATGTTTATGCTTTGTATTGTAATTATGCACATCAGAGTTCAGAGTTGTATAGATTCTATTTTTTATGATAAAACATAAAATCTCCAGTATATACAAAGAAGTAACAGTTAAAATTTCTAACTCACCAAACAGCCTTCTGCAGGATGCCCGATTATCAACGCCCATAATGGCTCTTATGCATTTTTTTTGTACTTTAAAAACTGTATCTATCTCTTTACCTCCACCACCCCAAAACATAATACCATACTTAAATATGGATTCAAATTTAGTAAAATATACATTTCTTAATACCTGTAACCTAACAGAATTACGTAAAGATTTGATCAGATATAGAGCCTTGCTCAGCTTAAGGCAGATATATTGAGTGTGATTCAACCAGCTCAAATTTTCAGAGATATCAATACCCAAGAATTTCACCGAAGATGAATATACTAATTCCCTATTGAATAAACGTATGACCGGTCTGTTCCTAGAAGTAGATCCTTTTCCATGGAAAAATAATACTTTGGTCTTGTCAGTGTTAACAAAAAGTTGATTCACATTAAACCAACTTTCTAGTTGATCAATAACCTTTTTGATTTTTATATTTAAAGAACTAAGAGAGTTATCAGTGAACAATATATTAGTGTCATCTGCAAATAGTACAACCTTAGCCTGAGGTATAGCATGTGGCAAATCATTAATGAATAATAAAAACAACAGAGGACCCAAAACAGATCCCTGCGGAACACCATGTTTAATTTCCTTAAGTGACGAGGTAAAGGACTTAGAATAACAGGATACATGGTCCTGGTGATAAATTTCTACATATTGGAATCTATTCGTTAGATACGAGGTCATCCACTCATGGATTTTTCCTCTAAGCCCATACAAGTCCAATTTAGTAAGTAACTGGTCATGGTTTATTACATCGAAGGCTTTTGTAAGATCTAAAAATACGCCCATGGCAAATCGTTTTGAATCTAATGTTGTCAAAATGTCCTCAAGAAAAGACTGGATAGCAGTATAGGTAGATTTATTAGCTCGGAAACCATTTTGGGCACTAGAAATCAAATTATATTTATTTAAAAAACTTATAACTCTATTGTGTATTAAAGTTTCAAAGATTTTGGAAAATGCAGGAAGAACTGAAATTGGTCTATAATTAGTAATATCTTGAATTCGGCCCTTCTTTAGAATAGGCCGTACTTTGGCAATCTTCATCAAATTTGGAAAGGTACCTGTGTTTAATGAGAGATTAAATATGAAAGTTAACGGTTTATTTATAAACTGTATGCAGTGTTTAATTAATGATGCCAGAATCTCATCAAAGCCAGACGAATACTTATTTTTTAGTTAAATTAATATTAATATTAAAAATTAAGATTATTTCCTGAATATTCTAGGATGATCAGTAAAAACGGTCTTAAATTGCTTAAATGTAGTTTGTATTCAAATTTTTTGACTGAGAATCTGTGTCAAACAAGACAGATTTTCTGACATCAGAAAAACTAACCTTTCCTTTCTTTTCCTCTCCTTCTTTTCCACATCATGCTGAACTTCTTTTCCATCGTCTTCATCCATATAAGAAATCACCTTGGACTTCTTTGTTTCAGATTCTTCTGCGTCTTCTTTCTGCTTCCTTCGCAAAGCTGGAAATAAAAACTGATTAACAAAACTCATGACAATGGACAAACATCAATATAATTTATTTCACAATACGTTTTGTTCTTAAGTTATATGAATTAGGAACACATAATACTGTACCCAAGATTATTTTTAAGGAAGGACTCATGTTCCAAAAACCATCAAAACAAGAAACAAAAAAACTCTTCAATTATGCCACACGCTACCTGCTAATTTATCCAATCCAAGGATGGATTTCTTCGGAGCCGGGGCCTTAAATACCCCATCTTCGGGCGGCTTTCTCTTGATGATAAGGCCACCTCTTTCATTTTTACTACCTTCTAACCTATACAAATCTGAATCATCATTGCACTCCATGTTTTAAAAGTTCAAAATTTAAACGGAATCTCCAAACTCATATCAGCTGGACACATCGGACTTTGTTCTTTACCCTCCACATTATTTCCATTGTATTTCCAGTTCTGAAGTAAGTCAATATTCTCATTTGCCCTTACCACAGCCCACTTCTGTTACAAGGAAGCGCAAAGAAGTATAGTACACATGTACAGGCTTTGTTTCTTTACGTATTAAAATTTCCCGTCGTTTTGCCGTGACTTGTAATGAATGTAAATTAAATTCGATAGCAAACACGTATTAACCACAGACTGCAACCTCAACACACTCTCCATTCCACAGAATACTCCATTCTGTGGATTCTGTGTATAATTGCCAATGCTTGAAAAATATATCTACGTTATATACCAATTCCAGGGATTATCCTCTTCTGCTGGTTACCAGTGGAGCAGCTGCCATCCTTCTTCAGTATTCAGTTTTGTAGTATTGTGAACTTCATCTGAACTTATATCTCTATACATGAGCATTAAAATCCAAGCGGTTTACTTTGACTATAGCAATGAATTGCGATTATATTGGCATAACTGCCTTGACCGCCTTGACCGCCTGGACGGGCTGGACAGCGCAGTTCGATTCCCGGTGGGAAGGCTGAGGGGCAGTATTATTCTGGAGCACATCAAATCTCTTCACCAATAGGTATCCGGATCTGTTCCCGGAGTTCAGCGACAGGGACGTGGAACCACGAATCAGATGCGTGAAATTAAGCATGCACCTTCATGTAGTGCCGAGGATATGAATGCATGGAACTATACCTCCACTTCCCCATACACTTTCATGGCGTGGTGCTAAATTATGCACAAGAACAGCTCTGGCCTTATCGTTTGGCAAAACTCCTTATTTTGAAATTCAAAAGAGATAGGCCACTGGCATTTTTAGGAATAAGCTGGAGAATATTTGAAATTTATCTATTTATTATTATACAGAACATTAGGCTTTAATGTTTAAATCAAATTATTTCACTTTATCTGCTTGCACTCCCGTTTATTCTTTTAGTCTTTATTTTAGACGTACAGCATAAGTCACGGCCAACTAAGTGACTCCATTCCTGTGAAATTACTAGAACTGACAGGAGGTGAACACTAGGTACAGATGGTCACCGACAAAGATATGTTTATATGGAGAAAGAATAACAAATTGTATACGAATAAAATGGTATGTGCTTCATAGGTCTCAAATTTATGGTGGATTCTTCGATGATATGCTACAACAATAATACACTGTAACATAGGCTCAGTGGTCTAGGGGTATGATTCCTGCTTTGGGTGCAGGAGGTCCCGGGTTCAAATCCCGGCTGAGCCCTTAATTTTTATTTATTTTATCCGTAATTTGAAAAGGTGAAAGTAAAATGTAATACAATTTATGAAGGTGCTGGATTGAATTACTGCAAAACAATTCGTAATATCAATAAGATACAACATGAATCTTAAATGGACACATGAACAAAACTTTTAGTAACATCAGTCAAGACAGACAAGAAATATTAACTGGATGATGGACAAACGGTATTCAAAATGGCATTCCAATGGATTTTAAAGAAGATGATGACTTTTCACTTGCTTGAAAGAGACCAACTGTTTCCTAACGCACGCGTGTGATAAAGACGATACTGGTAACAACAACTGTTAAATTCACTCGTGCAAGGTAAACGCAAAGTTGTCCCTATGTTTAATTAAGTAAGCACTACGCCACTGAGACGTATTTACTCATGTAAGTACTTATTAAAATTGAATGCTTTCAGCTCTAAAGACTCGTTCTATCGCTTCACATTAAGATCTAAAAGATTTTATGCTGACACGATGCTAACATGAAGCTACTAACACTTCGAACATACAGAGACCTGCAAAATAATGCTTTGTGATTTATCAACAAGCGTTTATTATCGAAAATTAATCGGTTATAGGATAATAGTAATCAGTACCCGCTACTTCAGCCTCCAAGATATTGATCTGCATAACAGAGTTTCTTTTTTCCCCGGGGTTTTAATGAATCGTAGAAAAAACAACATGACTTTTCGTAAACTTTTCGTAAGATTGGGACGCGATATTTTCTTCCATGTAGGAACCGAATTTTAAATAGCATTTAGACAGAATTCGCCCTTTATTAAACGCAAAACGGTCTGCCATATTAAGGATCTATTGCGTGACCTTCGCCCTTTTGCATCTGAAATACGCGTATATATCTTATGCTTAAATGTAACTGAATCATTCGGCGAGCGAAGATGAATTATAATCTATAAACAGATTACCGTTCAGGCCAGCAGAAGATGCCGTCCATATTCAGAGCGGTGAAGTTGCATGGGAAGACATGGAGATGTTCTCACGGTATAAGAGCCTTAAGTGTTAAATAACAACTTCTTCCGGAGCTCTTGTTAGGGGTAAACACTGCACCATTAACCTCTTGGCCTGAACCTGGCAGGGGGGTTCAAAACACCGGGCGCTATGGCTGTTCTGTGACGCAACAAGAGGTAGCAAAATGTAACAGTTGAATGTCAAGGATAAAGGAAGACAAGATGATCTCTATCCCGATTGCTTCTGCATAAAAAATTACAACGTGAAATTCACCTCTAATATTAATTTTCATTTAATTATTCTTGTTTTACTTAACGACACTTTCAAATGTTTCTTTTTCTGTGCATTGCTCGGTACTTCGGCCACATAGTGTATCCATATGTTTCACTTGGTTCTTGGGATAAACAGCAATTTTTTTCTCAAAGATCATTAATAACTAATCTTTGTAACGGAAATGCGGTGTGCTTTCCTGGTGGTAGAAATTTAACTTTTAAATATTTAATAGAAAAGATGATCTTATCCAATTTCTGGTAAGCATAATTCAGAAATCAGAAACTCTGATATTCTCAGTATTTGATAAGCAAAATTCAGACATTTAGCTTAATTTAAATTTAGTCTGATAAACACAGTTGGTACTGCTAGTCACTCGGAGAACTTCCTGTTATATCAAAGCTTTTACCCACCCCCACTGAAGACCTCTTTTCTTTCACGCTGTGATCACAAGGCGTATGGATAAAATTTGAGAGCTCTCACAACAGGAAGTTCCAAGCCTAATTCTTAAAGCTTATTTTCCTATGGCATTAACTTCTAGTCGTACACATCTATTGCTATTATGTATCGCTAATTTATTTCTTGTGCGAAGCTGAAGAAGAAGCTATCTCTGCAACAGGCCGTGGAGGCCCATAGGGTTGTGAGACGTCGAGGCTCCCACATTTTCTCTAGACACTCGGCTCACAGATGGCGGTGAGGTTGTCAGCCTTATGCGCCAAGCTGACCCTGTAACAGGCCGTGAGGGCCCATAGGGTTGTGAGACGTCGAGGCTCCCACATTTGCTCTAGACACTCAGCTCACAGATGGCGGTGAGGTTGTCAGCCTTATGCGCCAAGCTGACCCTGTAACAGGCCGTGAGGGCCCATAGGGTTGTGAGACGTCAATACTCCTATATTTTGTCTAGACAGTCAGCTCACAGATGGCTGTAAGGTTGTCAGTCTTACGTGCCGGCCTACCTTTACCCCCCAGGAAAATCCCTGGTATTCATTTCTGTCAGAGGCTAAGTAGAACCCAGGACCATAATGCGGCTGAAAGGACTAGATAAATTGAAAAAAAAAAATCACCCCACTGGGACTCGAACACGCGATCTTCCGACTTGTAGCATAGTGCCTCAACCAACTTGAGTAGAGATTTTATCGGCACCGCGTTAGTAACTTCTAATTTACAAACAGCAATTAATTTATTATATGTAGTTATGTTTATGATCTGTCTCCGTACCAGACTTCACATGACTAGCTGCAATGGTTCATTAATTATCGCCATTAAACCGAAAACTAAAGGCAATGTTTGCGCGGTCGACATTTTCTTATTTTACATTGTATAAAAATTATCTTTATAAAAGTTGTGTATTTTTCTTAGACCTACTCAACACCTTGACCGTCCCTGTGGTCTAGTGGTCAGAGTTCCTGGCTACAGATCCAGAGGTCCCGGGTTCGATTCGCGGTGCTACCAGATTTCCTGAGAAGTAGTGGATCTGAAACGGGGTCCACTCAGCCTCGTGAGGATAACTGAGGAGCTATTTCAAGGAAATAACTGCTCCGGTCTAGAAAACCGAGATTAACGGTCGTGGGGATTCGTTGCGCTGACCACGCGACACCCTCTATCCGCTAAAGTTGGCACTAACTTCGCCGACAAGCGGTGGTCGCTCGGTCGGTAAGTTCGCTTGCCGACTAAAGCCACGGAGATTTTTACTACCTTTCATCTTTTTGCGATTCAAAGTGACACAAATGTCGCTTCCACCTCAGAAATTCTCGTCCGTCATGTTTTTATTACTGATTGTGGAGACTTAAAACCGATGTTGGGGTTGCTCCTATGGCAAAACATTCATGCCATGTATCGTAAAATTCGGTCATCCTTGTTCAAAATTTCAAAAGGGTAGGGAGTCACAGACGGATTGTCATCCCACAAGTCTTTCTTTCCTTAAGAAAGGAAAGTAGGAGAGAAATGAATGTTCCCCTCCCAATCCCCGCTTAAAAATCTTTTTTTAACTTTTCATCTCTCTCCGTTCTTCAAAACGCTCTCTCAACCTTGTGCCCCCCCCCAAGGGGGTGCTTTGACTAAATGCAGAATCAATACAGGGCCTATGTTATAGGCCCTACTACAGAACAGGCGTTGAAATCAACGTGCTCATTATTTTTGTTCATATTTCTAGCTAGACATTGAGCTGGTTATGTCGAGATACGGACGTCAACGCCTGAAGACAAAGTCCTTAATGTTTCCTCATATGTTACGAGCTCTGGTAACGAGTGTGGCGACACAAAGAGGCGGAAAGGGAATTAATCTATTTTTTTATACTTCGTTTATGACGACAGAGGAGGTCCTTGAGAAAGAATGGGAAAATACATTTAGATTTGAAATATTTTAGCCGTGAAAGAAATATATACATATCATCCCATTTGTAGCGTTTTGTTTATTTTAATGTACTTGTTATATTTCAAAGCCAGTGTACCAAAAATCAAATTCAAAGTTCAAAATTTTTGCATCTTAATCTAACCTAACATAATTCATGAAGGTGGCGTTTCTTTCATAAAAGTAAAAAGTAAAGTAAAGGTATCCCTGTAACAGGCCGTGGAGGCCCATAGGGTTGTGAGATGTTGAGGTTTCCACATTTTCTAGACAATCAGCTCATAGATGGCGGCAAGGTTGTCAGCCCTACGCGCCGGCCGCCCTTTACCCTCAAGAATATTCGAAGAATATTCCTGGTACTCATTTCTGTTAGAGGC